ACAGTCCAACACTTGAACACTCTAAAGGAAGATCTGGTAGAAAGTTGTGTGAGAAAGCAACAGCAGGAGCAGAAGGAATTTTCCTACAGTTCATTTGCAAACAGGAAGCATCAGAAATATTTTACAGATACGTTTTGCCACTCGTAAGCTTCCTCGTCAAAAAATTCAGCATGTAACAGTTGGATGAGTTCCTAATAAGTTCTCGTGATTGTTTTTTTATTCTTCACGTGAGCTGTGAAGGGTCTCAGAAACATTTCTGGGCTGTAAGAGGTTCTCTTTTCGGATGATAAATTCATTTAATTGGTTCATTAAGATGACGAAATTGTTTTATTGTGGATAGATGTCACTGGGATGCTAATTTTGATTTAACGCATTCCTTCAAAGCTAGTTCTGCATCTTTGTTCATATTTTGTGGTATACATTCCTACAATTACGCAGTAAGGTTGATGAAGTACAGTACAATACTTTTCAAGGGAATTTTCAAGAAGGTAATGGGATTATCAGTATATTTGCATATCTTCTGCTTCAAGCAATTTTTGATAAAACGCCCGGAAATATCCATCACCAATCTAGATGATTTTTTTTACGTTTCACCCATGATAAAAAAAAAAAACTCATTGATTGGTAAACCATTCAAAGATTTTCTGTGAAAAAAGGTATGATATTCTATAATTCACAGTGAAAGCCATACATGTGAAGAAGCGCTTTTAGCAATGATCAACGCAATTGGAAATATCCTACTCAATATTCTTCGATGCGTTTGATTTTGTGAACCATCCGTTTCTTGAACGTTAGCATTCCAAAAGTGTTTCAATTTTGAAGTTCTCGAAATCATTTTGAAACCTCCCATATTTTATGCAATTTTTTTTCAAGGTGTCTACTTGGAAGTTCATTTTCCTCGTGACGAGTTCGCCATTCAGTGTATGATGCATCCTGCGACGTATTTGAACAAGGTTTTGTTCGCATCAACGCAGGGAGCTTTTCAGCTTTGGAATTTGAGAACCGGGAAAATGGTTCATGCATTCAAAGGATGGAATTCGTGCATTAATGTTGTGGAACAGGTTAGTTGTCGCATCTAATCCGCGTTTGCATTGTTTCTTGGGAGTTGGGAGACACGTTCAAGCTAATGAAGGTTTTTTTTTCAAGAAAGTGGGTTTTTTTTTCAAGTTGGATTTTTGGCGTTTAATTATTTCGAGTGGAATTGGACGAAAGCTTGCATTTTTTTTCTTGGAATACGATTATATGCAAGCCAATATTCGTTTGATTCTACAAAAGAATAATAATTGAATTTGTTCTTGGAAATAAATTCTTGACGAATCCAGCGATTTTCTCGATTTATTTGCTTTTGGGAAAAGTATGCCTTCAGTACAGTATTTAAAAAGCAAGAGTGAATTTGTTGTCGACTCAACGTAGAAGCAAAGATTTTATTCTCATGAAAACGGTGATTCAAGCGTGCTGCTCGTATTTCCATTAATCTTTATTGCACTGTATTTTCAACGATTTTCTTGTAATTTCAAGGCACCTGCTGTCGATGTTGTTGCATTTGGACTGAAAGATGGACGAATAATCCTGCACAACATCAAACTGGACGAAACGATCATGACCTTCACGCAGGAGACCTTAACTGCATCTTTCGGGGTTTCGGGTGCTGAAGTGACAGCATTGTCTTTCAGAACAGATGGAAAGGCTGCCATCATGGCCTCTGGCTCTCCAGATGGACACATTGCATTATGGGACTTGGAGGGTATCTATTAAGAGTGAAAGACTTTATTTTTTTCTAATTTTAATACCTGCTTTTTTTTCCATAGAGAGGAAGCTTCAAAGTGAGATTCGATTTGCTCATGATGGGCCTGTAGTCGGGTTGGAATTTCAACAAGGCGAGCCTTTGCTGTTGAGCAATAGTTCCGATAACACACTCAAAGTACGTATCGCATTTGATGGTTGAAATCTTGGCAGAAATATTGTAGAATTGCGGGAAATTGTTCTAAGGATTTGTCAGTCTCTTGAAATGATTTTTTTGAGTACCACAATTTCTTAGGTGAAATTACCGTATTAAAAGCACTGGAATCGAAGAAATAATCATTGCGCAGATACTGGACTGAAAAGGGAAAAAGAATAAGTATTTTATTAAATTTTGAAGCACTGTACTGGATTATTCATGTTAATTATCCTTTTTAATTACGAAATTCCACGTGTTTGTTTTGGCGTTTGTGAGGGGAATACAGTGCTGAATTTGAAAATTATCTGCAACATACCGCACAAAATTCAAGTTTCATGTGTTCGTATGAAGGCATTTTTTTGTCTTGAACTTTGAATGAGGATGGATATACCGTATGTTGATTTTCTGATATTTTCTCTTTAAGAAAAAATCTCCCAAACTTTTGCAGAAAAATACGGTAAAATTAGATGGCCAAACTTTTTTGCTTCCAGCAGTTTTTTGTTTTCCCCAATTCCTATGTGGCTGAAATAAATTTAATTTCCGTCGCACTGCGTTGCAGATGGTCATGAATGTAATTCCTCTTCTTTCTTGAAAATTTAGCAATGGATTTTCGATATGGGAGCGGATGGAGGTCGTCAACTCCGTGTTCGAGAAGGCCACAGTGAGCCGCCCTGTCGAGTGTTTTTCTATGGTGAAAACGGAGAAGAAATTCTGACAGCTGGACGGGATTCCAGCGTTCGTGTGTTTGCGACTTTTAAAGCAGACGGCACATTTAAGAATTTGGGTAAAGCCGTTTATAATAAGAAATCATACAAGAAAGTGAAGAGGAAGGATAGACAAGGAGACGCCGGCGAGGGATCTGATAAAGCCAATGATTACATGCGCAAAATCATGCCTCCGATCGCTCAGATGGCTGGTGGTAAGCTGACCTGAAACACTCTTAAGTTTTTCTTAAGTTTTATGCACTGAGTTCTCTAACAGGAATTGCAGTACTATAATTATTTATTTACGAAGATATGAAACAACTTTTTCTCTTGAATTGTCACATCGTGAATCCGCGTACATCTCAAATCGATTATGTTTTAGATTTATTGGACTTGCAAATAATGCTGGTTTTTGCGTCGATTTCAGAGGTATGCACCCCTTTAATAATCTGAAATCATTAATCATGTGTTGTACTGTAATTATTTTGGATTAGTTTGAAGCATGGCGAGGAAGTATCATCAGTACAGAATATATTTCGAAGTGTAAATGTGAGAGAGCGTCTGACAGCTTTTTTATTCTGAGTACTTTACCGCAAGTTTTTCGAAGTGACGTACGGTTATATTTCATTTTTCTTTTTAATTTTTTATTGATCAGGAAAAACAAAGTGAGCATTGTATGCAGTTTTTCATTGGAATGAATTGTTTCTCGGAAATCAGTGTACTGTTTCTTCATGAGTGAATTTTTTGGTCCTTCATGTGCAGCAGGCTCTCAGGAATTATTATACTGTAGAAGTGTAGATAATTAAAATACAATTTCAAAAAAAGTTCTTGAAGTTGAGGGGGTGGAATTTAATGAGCGTCTCAAGATCGGAAGCATGTTACATTCGTTCGAAAGCTATATTAAGTCCAGTCCCTTTTGAAACAGATCTCCGTAATCGCGGTTTTCGTTCATTTTTTTGAATGATGTAAGTCTGCTGGTATTTCGTGTTAAAGAAGAAAGTAATTCCTTTTTAACAGTAATGACGAGAACAAAGGAATGGGCCGATATCGTTGCTTGTCACGAAAATTGTCCACTTGTCACGACCTGGTCGTATTACAAAACGAGAATGGGAGATCTGAAACTCTTGCATGATCGTTTCAAACATGATCCGAAGTTGAAGAAGATTGCAGCCACCGTGAGTTCCATTATTTTGTTGTATTCGATTTTTTAATTCGGCAAAAATGTATCCAATTTTTTATTCTATTTTTTGAAGGTACAGTATACAGTAGTCTATTGAGTGATCTCAAAAAAATCTCCTTGTTCTTCATTCTCTGTTAAATTACTATACTGTACTTGAATCTCTCTGGATTTCTTTTGCAATCTTGAAAAAAGCAGTTATGCTGCAACAGTGCTTTATGGTACATTTGTAGTGTTACCTTAGTTCTTACGTTTTGGCGTATTAAAAAAAAATACCGTAGTTAGATAAATTTTGCTAGCTTGACATTGCAACATTTTCTCTACTTTTAGCAAAAATAATTAACTAATTAAATCCCTCCTCCTCCTAATTTTGCAACTGAAATTCCTTCTCTGCGATCATCATTGATGGATTGAACCAACTCGTGATTACCGGAGGTAAAGTTGAACCTCGATGACCCGAACCTCACAAAAACCGCATGTTGTAAATTTTGTGGCCCTGTCTGAATTCGTTCAAGATACGTAGATCTCCCTATCTCAAATGCATCCCCGTCAAGCCCAGATCATTCTAATTGATTTATGCCTTTGTGCTTTTATTGTGGGACTAGGAAATGGAAGAGCAATGGAAATTTAATCCTATTTTTTTCAAGGATGCTCTTGTTGTGACTAATTGGGCAATTGTACCTCTGTTTTAAAGTTTAGCATTCCGTAATATCATTTATCTAGCAGTTTGTGGCTTAATAATATCACCAGTTTTAGTATTTTACCTTCCTATAATTATTTTAACGTTCAACGTATTTTTTTAGACTCGTTCCTCCAACTCGGAAGAAAGTCGAATTTTTTGTTGGTCTCTTGGAATTTCAATGAGAGGTATGACTTTTATTTTTGTTTTTGGTGTTATTGAAATTCCATGTTTACCTGAGTTCAGAAATTTTGACTGCTTCTGATTCTGCTTTAAAATCATTCACGGCAATCAATTTACGCGAATATTGGAGTCCATACTTGATCGATTATTTTATTGTTTGGCAAGCCTTCAAATTTTGGCAATCTTTAATGTTTTTGTTGTACATTTGTATGACGACTTCCTGTTGATCATGTCTAATAGGCGGACATGCACTAGACTAGAGCCATAAATTTTTCATTCACTCTTTAAGGGGCCTTTTTATTTATTTTAAATCAAGGCCCAAAACTTGGGTTTGAAGGAGTTGAATGTTGGATATTCGAAAAAAAGGCGTAATTTAAGATGAAAGCGATGACGGATGAGTGTATTACTGTATACTGTAGTTATATTTTCTTTTTTTTTCTCCTTTCAGGTTCTGATTGCAATGTAAAGTTCTGGCGATTCAAAACGTGTCAGTACGGGGTGTCTGCGGTGATGCCCGCGCCGGTTTCTTTCATGCGAGTTCATAGGGACAGCGGATTATTGGGGATTGCGTTGGACGACTTCTCTGTCCGGGTGGTCGACTTGGACGACAGAAATCCGAAAACGATAGGGCGGCCCGTGAGGCGGCTGGAAGGGCGGCATTCCGCGGTCATCACGGATATGACTTTTTCTCCGGACGCCAGATGGTTATTGACTGCCAGTGCGGATTCCACTGTGCTGGTCTGGGACCTTGTCACAGGACTGTACGTTTTGAGTTCATGGCATTATTAATTCGTGTATGTAGGCCACATTTTTTATTTTGTTTTCATTGAAAGAAACGTGTGAGTTCAAATTCGACGGCCTAATAGCGGGAAGTCTAATTGCGAGGACCACCTTTACTAACGGATGGAGATGAGATGCATTCATAAAATGATTAAAATTATCTCAATCTGCGAGAAGAACTAGCACGTCATGATTCCCTGAAGGTCAACAGAGACACGGTTCTTGAAAATTCTGTTTCCGTTTTGAGAAAAATTATGTTTATTAATTTTTTGAAATTTGAACTATTGATGAAGGGACGATAACGTGGCTTTCAAACTGGTTTCTTATCAAAGCTGGAAAAGAAAAACTTGAAATTTCGTTTGCAAAGTACAACTATGATCTTTAATTTATTTCCAGGGCCATGGATTGGTTCAAAGTACCCCATATTTGCACGTCGATGTCGTTCTCGCCCTCGGGGGAATTCCTGGCCACCAGTCACTCGGGCTGTCTCGGTGTTTACCTCTGGGTGAACAAGACCATATATGTGCCTTCTTCTGGCGCGAGGAGTTTGCCAGTCGACTACAAGCCTCGCATGCTTCCCTTGCCTGGTGCGACGATTGAAAAAACAGGAGAAGGAGAAACCGAAGAAGAGGAAGAAGAAATTGAAAAAACGGAAGTTTTTGTGTCTCCCGAGCAGATTTCGAATGATTTGGTCACTTTGGCTCTTTTACCTGAATCAAAATGGGCAAATCTGCTGAACCTCGATGTCATAAAGGTATGGGTCTCACATTTTCTGAGTGGTTTTCACGCAAACGTCGTAACTTCTAAAAAACAAAATTCCTCGATATAAACCATATTAGAGAACATTAACCCAAACAAATTGCTTTGTAAACGTTATTTATGGTTTGGTCAAGTACCCAACAGCCAATGAGGTAATTTTTACGTATTACGGATAAACTCTCCAACGATTTTTTTTGTACTGTGTAACGAAATTATTTTTTAGTCCCATAGGGTTCTCTCCCCATGGTTCTCTGCGACGAAATTCTCTTCGCAACGCTTTTTTTCGGTCCTTGAAATTTCTGTGTGGAGAGAGTCCACCTGTAATTAAAAGATATAACTTTCCTCCTAGATCGAACAAGACATCAAAATTGGTGTAATTTACGCTTAAGTTCATTTTTTTAAAATCAAAATTCAATTTTTGTGAATACTTTGTAGAAGAAAGGCTGGATTTCCATTTTGCTGATTTTTTTCATTACTTTCACCTTACGCGATTAATTACTGTCGTACTGTACTAAATTTGTTTCATTAAATTCCAGACATTCGTGACTAACTTTTCTTCACCTGCGCGCGGGAAATCGGATTCCTCTAGCCTATTTATGAATAAAACTGATGCTTGTTTCAGGCGAGGAACAAACCGAAAGAACCTCCGAAAGTACCGAAATCAGCACCTTTTTTCCTCCCAACCGTCGCTGGTTTGACTCCGCAATTTGATCTCAGTGCAGAGAAGGAGCACGAAGAAGGCGGAGATGCTGAAAGGAGTCGTTTATTGAGAATGACCGAAGCTAGACACTTGTCCGAATTTGCCAAACTCGTTCGTGAGGCCAGTGAACCTGACGACTGTAAGTTCAGTACAATATTTCTGTTATTTTTTTGACCACTCAGTACCTGCAATTACACGAATCTGAGACACACTTTTATTGCCGCCGAAAAACTTCGCTAAAGAAAATGGCGCTCATTATATTATATGACATTGCCCTCGTTCGAATAAAATTCCAGTCGAAAAGGCAATTGAGCAAATATCTGCGACTATGTAAAAAAAAAGAAAAACCTGAAGAATTACAATCTTGATTTCTGTTGCAATTATGTTCTGTTGAGGGAAATTTAATTCAGTACCTGTACTATAAAAGTTCGTAGTATTTTCCCTTGAAAAATTGTTTCGATCATTGAATAACGAAACAAATTACGGATGCAAATTGTAATCGATTTCGTCTTTTATTCTAGTAAAAAATAGTACTAAAAGTATTCACAATTTTGTCGTGTATTTCAGACCGAAAATTGATGGAGGTGATGAAGCAGTATGGACCAAGCAAGATCGACGTCGAAGTGCGGTCATTGGCGCCTGCGAATGGCGGCGATGTAGAACTGATGATGAACTTCCTGAAGTCAATTTTTCTCTCGTTTGAGGAATGCAAAAATTTTGAAGCTGCTCAAGCGTACTTGGGAATCTTCTTGAAGGTGATTCTGATTTGATGCCTCTTCGTTGAAGCTGATGTCAATTGTTCAAGTGTATTTTTTATTCGCCTTTTCTCTCATAATGTCAAGCTGATTAAATAACAGTAACCAATTCATGACTTAACTAAGCTTTAAATTTTGATATGGTATATGAAGCAGTATACTTTTATATTCATGGTCGAGAACAATTATATCTGACGACTAAAATTTTCCTGTAGATACATTGGGACGAGATTCCTGAGCATTCGGAAGTGGCTGACTTCCTGCCAGAACTTTTGGAAAAACAACGATGGTCCTGGAAGAAACTTAGTTGTAAGATCACGGATGCGTTGTGTCTGGCAAATTTTTTGGACAATGTGGTTTTGTGATAATATAAGACCAGTTGCCCTGGAATTTGAGTTATCATCACTGCGCGCAGAAGTACTGTAATCCGTTTACATTTCAGTGGAAAGTCTGTGTCGAGAGACACGAGCGCAGATGTGAGGCAAATTTTTAGAGAAATGCAGAAAAGAGGTACAGTAGAATTCCGTTACAACGAATGTCGTTATAACGAATTTTTTGCTACAGTATTTGGTCGACTTCTCACGGTTTGGCGGAAATATGCTGAAGAACCTCTCCCATGATTGTGTCGCAATTTCGCATGGGAGGAGATTTTCGACTCCGGATCAGCAAAAAAAAACAAACAAAAAACTGCATGCTGATGAGCCATCTTTCTCTTAGCTCGTGTTTTTTAGTACATGAAAACTTAGAATGATTCCCTCTGCTCGGAAAAAGTATTTATTTTTTATAGACAATAGATTGAGTTATTTTTAAATATTTGATGAGCGCACTGGAAGGGGAAATCAACTTTCTACTAATTTAATTTTATCAGTTTTGTTAATTGATCTAAAAGAAAAGTCAGTTTCATGCGATTAAAATTGAGCATAATAAGGGACGCTTTTCTCGCCTTTTACAGGCCTGAAAAATTTTTACCTGATGTAGAAAAATATTTACCTGATGTAGAAAAATATTTACCTACAACTTAGATATGATTCTTCGTTTTGCGAAGTGCTATTTTAGAGGTAGTCTACCTGTATCACTTTTCTAGTGGGGGATGCTGAGAAATTGTCAACCCCCCTTGAATGTTTTACTGACGAGTGCAGAAAAAAAAGTGCAATCCACAGCATCTCCGTTCATGCATGGGAAGACCTGGGAATTTCCTGCTGCAGTTGGCAGGAAGTCCAATATGACGATGGAAAGTTAAGGAATGGCGCAAAGCTGGAAGAGGCGAGAACCTTTAAAATGCTTATTTTTCTGTTTGATGACCAGATTCTATCTTATTCATGGCCAATCGTTCCAATACAGGGAGTGATTCCAATAAGAGCGTTGGTGATGGAAATTCTGTGGATGATGAAGAAGCGACAAGTCTCTGGAGCTCTGCGAGTCCGCTGCCTTTGGACAGTCCCAAGAAAATTGCCCAAAAGGTAATTGTTAAATAAATTTGTAATTTTTTCTTCAGATGCTGAGGTGGTTGTCATTGATTTGTAGCGCACGGTCCATGGTAAATTTTTTACAGCTATAGTACTGTATAACTTGATAACTGCACATAATTATGGTCTAAATGAGGCTTCGAGTGTCGGTTTTTAAAGATTATAGTCATGCTTCCCATGTTGAGGTCTTTGGGCTGTACGAAGATGGACGTATTTTTTTTAAAGAGACTTTTGGATTTCATCGTATTTTGATCAACGCTGTTCAAATTTTCTCACTAAATTTTAAATTGAAATACTGTTTGCTGGAACTTCGGTGACTAAATTCGAATCCACATCTGATGAACATGAATATCAAAATGTGAAGTGCACGTCGTTGCTCGATTTTAATTTTTTTCTGGGAATTTTACAAATTTTTGGCATAGGTCATACGTAAACGACATTAATTTGAGTTTCAATAAATATTTTTTCAGAGCCTCGGAAATTAGGAAACAAATTATTTATGCTCAAATCAAACTGCCGGATGAAAATGTAAACCCGAAAAGAATGCAGCGCAAAATTTAATTCATATTTGTCTAGATTTCAAATTGTATCGGCCATTTCCTATACAGTAGTACTGTAATTTATTTTTATGTCACAAAAATGCGTTGCGGGAATTAATTTTTCTACAAATTTTTTCTCAAAATTAAGAGACATTGGCTCTTGAGATTGAATATAACAAAATTATACTTCGTTTGATTTTCTTTCGCACATGTCGCCAGAGTTTTGGATCACATTTTTGGGATATAAATTCATTTTTCTTACCAATCTTCGCTTATACGAGAAATTGTTTTAATGTTCTTTACAGGAAAAGCCGAAGGGAAGCGTTGGAAGGTATTTGTTATTCCTCGTCGCCTTCCTGTCGTCCATCGGCATTCACGGAGTCAACAGTTAGCTTCATTGATGCATCGATTTGTTGGCATCTAATCACGTATTTTCAAAAATTTTTTTTCAAGCTATCATTTTAAGATACGTTCGACATGTGTATACTGATGAAAGGCGATTGCTTCTTGTGCACCTCGCCTTCTTGTTCGTGAAGGGTTGTGGCGGACTGACTGGTGGCGCCCTTGCTGATGGGCGTTGGGGAAGACTGAAGTGTGTATGATTTGTTGAACAGAAATGCGTTATTTTTCTCTTGGTTCAAAGTTGGTTTTTCTTTTTATTTTATGAAGGACAGGGTTGCTGTTTGCGATCCTTGCTTTAATTTTTGGTGTCTCTGCTTTTGTTGGGCAATTTTCCTTCATGTCCTGGAAAAACAAAGGGTTAGTTGTTGGTGCACTGTACTGTACAGTAGTTTCACATTAGAAAAATCTCACCAGATTCTTACAGTGGTTACCTGTACGAGTGGAAGAAGAAACTGTACATTTTTTTTAGTGAGCCTACTATTCATAGAAAAAATGTGCGGTATTCTCAACTTGAGACGCGCAGCCTACTTTTGAGTCACTGTGAAATTTTTATATTTCAAGATAGTAAAACTGAATTTACACCTAAATTGAATATGGATTTAATTGCTCCTTGATTCTTCTTTTTTAAATCATCATCGACCGTATTTTAGCTGCTTCAATTATTTTATGTACATTTTTCTCTTCGGAAGCTGCTGAGGTTTCAAAATATCCCCCATATTGATTTGCTTTTGAAATGTACAGGATTGGAATTTTGGAAAAAGTGTTTACCCACCCATCATGCAAATTCAGCTTTTGGCTCCTAATTTTTTTTAAATAAAATTTAAGTGTGGTACTCCAGTGATTACGACAGTAAATAAAATTTATTCCCTTTTGAGCATTCTTCGGTAAAATTTCAGAAAGAATTTTATGTAACGGTCAATTTTTTTCGAGACCGTATTCAACTTTTCAGGAGTAAAGTATCTGATTTTAATGTATGATTGATAAATAAAGTTTTTTTGTATTTTGTAAATTTTAAAAGGAGTTGAGGGATCTATTATTGTTCGTAGATGCAACATAATGTATTAGCAATCGCACATACGGTTTAAAGAGCTTGGATTTGTTTTTGAATTCAATATGCAATTTTCTGGGCCACCCGTCGCATCTTTTGGTCAGTCGCGAATCCGATGCCAAAAAATATTCACTAAGTCTGCCGTGTAATAATATATCAACTCCATTTTTTCGGAGTTTCTCCAGATATTAACGAGTATTTTTCTTTTTTCATGGTGGAGAAGGCTACTGATGCTGGCCATTGCCCCGTTCACGTTCTTCAGCATCAAGGCTGGGTGGGCCAGCTTGTTCACACTGATCGGAGACCAGTTTCCAAAGGACTGGAACTGCCTCAGGACTTCTCAAAACTGGCTGTATCTTCACTTGGCTGTGAATGCTGGCTCAACTCTTGTAGGAATCATGACTCCGGGTGTGATTGAGTATCTCGATTGCAGCGACGATGACAGTACCTATTGTTACGGATCATCTTCTGCTGTGGATATTGTCTCTGCGATGTTGAGTCTGAGTTGAGGGAAAACATCATTATAAATGTGCTGTTTTTAGCTCGTGACATTGGCTTGCTCTGTGAAGAATAATTACTATAGATAAGAAAGTTGGACTTCTAATGAAAAAATATGTAACGAGAGAGACGCTTCTGCAGTCGGTCACATACTGGAACAGCATCGTTTACTGTGTTTTTATCAAGATAAAAATTTTTTTCCGGAATCATTTGAAGGCATTTTGTTCCTGGCTTCGAACAGTTTCGTTTCGTATCCGCCGGAGCTGAACATTTTTTGCACAGTGTCTGGATGCATATTTGTAAGATTTGGAAAATGTGTACTAATATTTGAGTTTGATAGAAAGAAATTATTCTCAGGCCGGCTTGAAAAGAAAAGCGACAGGTCGACATTCCAGACACTACGAGCATTGGATGGATTCTGCCGAATTTGATGGGTACCCTGTGGAGGTCATAGAAGAAAGCAAAGTGATTTTCCGACTCTCGGGATTTTTAATTGCAGCTGCTGGGTTTGTTACTGTTCATTTCCAAATGGTGAGATGGTGTTCGAAAAGTCAACGCTGTGAAGAGATTTTTTATTGTAATGCATGCGATGACGTTTTAAATTTTTTTACCATTCGAAATGGAGAATTTTTTACTGGAAGGTATTATTTGGTTTTCAGGACCTGAATTTATGTATAGGTGAACTCTCAACAGCGATTTTTTATATGTAACGATTTTTTTTGGTCCATAGGGTTCACAGGATATTGGGGTTCTCTTTACAGCTGAGTTCCCCAACTTATGGTCCACGGACCGACGCAGGTCTGCAGATGTTGTTTTGCCAGTGCACAGGAAATTTTCTTCAGCATAATACGTTTTTCAAATGTAGCAATAAAGTTCATTATGTTTATCTGAAAGTTTGGCAGTTGGAAGTATCTGCTGAAAAATAAAATTTGGCTTTTCTCTTAATAATACTTCAGAAAAATTTTCAACTGCTGAAATGAATTATTTCAATTTTTCATTCTGGAAAACATTCCAGGCCCAGCCTTCATAATTTTTTGAAGACATTCCACTATAGCTGCTTCATTGCTTCTTTATTTCATTTTTGCAAACAATACAAACTTTTTAAATACCTGCCAAGCAAAATTTTTTTGAGTCTGCAAACATTTTATGAAACTTTGCCAGTCTGCAAAAAATTGTTTGGAAATATGCTGTCCTGTGGTCCCAAAAAGGTTGGGGAACTTTGTTCTACAGCAAAATTCTCTCTACAACAAATGTGTTTTGTTGTAAAGGGAGTCCAACTGTTGTGCACCCAAGTTTGATAAGCTTCTGGGTTTCTATAATCTCCTGAGCGTAGGTATGTAATTAGGATGAAATTATTATTTATTAAAAAGAACAAATTTCCCCCTCTTACTGGTATAGTTAGTACCAAGAAGGTGAATTTTTATTTGTACATAATTCAAATTTTCTGGACGCCTTAGATTTTCTCAAGCTTGTCCAAAATGTGAAGTGCTATAGTATGGAGAAAGTCAAGATTATGCATAAACCCGTTCAGAAAATGAAGGCAGGATTGTGTTTGATGATACTTTGTGGCTGCTACGCGACTGTGCTGGAAAGAGCTGTCAGAGTGAGGAAAAAATGTTTTTGTAACCTTTTACGAATTTTAATGCCATGTTGATTGAATGGAATGCAATGGACCCCTCAGGTGATGTACAGTAATTTTTGGTTGAAATACGTTTGCTGCTGGATGATAAAATCCCCTGATTAGGAAATCATTTTCTTAAAGGGTTCCTAACCTTTCAGAGCCCGCGGATGGCAAATAAAAATAAAATTGCGGGCGGGAAAATTCTTAAATTTTTGCAGATCCAAAAACTTGAAGAAAACAATGGCAGGTATTCGAAAATTTTCTGCTTTTATGACAAACTTGAGTCAAGAACCAATATAGAAGCTATGGTGGAATGTCTTCAAACAATTAGAAAGCTGGGGGTGGTGAGCTTGAAGAAAGCCTTCTCAGAATGAAAAATTGAGATAATTTATTCCAACATGCGGAAATTTGTTTGAAGTATCATTAGAAGGAAAGCCAACTTTCATTTTTTTAATCAGATAATTTCAACTGCCATATGTCTTCCCAAAATTTTAGATACGGTAACAGAGTTCATTGCTACTTTTGATAAATTTACAATGCTAAAGAAAATTCCTGCGGACCCAGAAAATACTTCTGTGATTCTTGCGGCCAGGCGCCTGGTCTCAAACCCCTTGGGGCTAAATCTCACGGAATAACCACTAAAAAAAAATGTGCTAGCGCACGTAAAGTTGAGCACCCTAAAACCGACGTAGGAAACAAGAGACGCCTTTTTCCTTCCTCCTGACCTCATCAAATTCGACTGCTAATAAAAAATTTAAGATTTCCAAAAAAATATGTAAATACTTTTGAAATTTTTACTCTGCAGGCTGACGAGGAAGTCCATACCCCGTCGAATGATGAAATGGATTTCAACATCGTCAATACGCTTGACACGCCGTCGGATGTGGTATTAATAACACGTAGACCAGACGAGACGATGGTGAGGGAGTATTTGCCAGTCATCCCACCGAAAGCCGTCAAAACTGTGGTAGCCCTGAACACCACAAATGCGCACGTTTTCCACGTTTACAGCGGGGACAAAGAAGGGAAACTTAAAGGATTCAATGTGAATCAAACAGTATTCATTGGGGGACGCGTAAGCATTTTTAAATTGAATAAGAAAAGACTGTATGTGCTAGAGAGGGGCCCCGAGATGCGGACGTTACTTGTGCTTGGACCTTTTGTCCCTATATATGTCGGAACGTCCGCATGTTGGCTCACATTTTCCTATGGACTTCATCGGGAACCTTATTGAATTGGTTCTCAAGATTATCAAAAATTTCGAATAAGTTCCAAAAAAATTGAATTACAATTTGTTTCTCAACTCAAAGATGCAGATATTAACAGTATAGAAGAAACCACGCATAAAA